TGAATACATTGACTTCCACTTATTCCCCTCACTTCAGTGAGTCGCTGCTTGCGAATTGCCATTATTGTTCACTCTCAAACATAGAAATATTATTATATTTCTCAACTGGAAGCTAGTTTTCCAGTTCCTAACCATAAGGTTTGAGACTGAGATAGGGTTTGAGATAGGGAAGTAAATGTTTATTTTTCAGATTATTGATAGATTTTCATGAGAGAACGACAATTATTTTAAATTAATTCTTTTCAAAGACAATTTGCGCAATTCAACCATGCCTACAGTTTCCCCCACTTTTCTCCCCAGCTCTGCATCCAATTATACTGTCATTCAGCACTCTGAGATACACATGAAAGCCACTACATAAATGTAAGCCAATCTGAGTATCTAATAATAATAAAATCCTTGAATTTGATATAGCACTTTATCATGTCTTTTGAGACATCACAAAGCACTTCACAGAATATCCTGTAAAGTGAATTGACTTATATATTCGCGGTAGCCAATTGCGCACATCAGACAAACAGTCGTGGATTGAGTGACCAAATTATTATTATTATTATTTGAAGGGATTATTATCCCCAGAAAAACAATCTGCCAATTGACTAATAACTGGGTTCCTACTTACTGCTAGTAAACAGAGGTGTGTGGAGTAATGAAACTTATCTAACGTTTTGTCCTGTATTTCATGGGATGTTGGAAATCGAACCCAGGTCCACTCACTTGTGAGGTGAGTGCCCTAACCAATACACTACAGGACTCCACAATCTGAGTAAACCTCACAGATTTGAAAACTGATCATTATCAGATCCTATAGTACTGTGTGGTCTAATAAATGCTATCATAAACAGCATTTATGAAGTGCATTTGTGTCACAATTTAGTGCAGGATCAACTCAAACTGGGAAAATGACAAGCAAAGCAGCACATTGATTAATCAGCCACCAAGCCCACTTCTTTCACAGAACATTGTTTTTCTCCCCTATCATGGATACGTTCCCAATTTATCTGAACTCCTACACTACAAATGTAATCAAGGAAAACTCCAGAGCAGTAATCAAACTTTATAACCTCTGTTATTCATGACTAAACAGTTGCTTTGAACAGATTCCAACATTTCAGGATTCATTGCGTTCCAAGAATAGAGGTGTTTGAAATTCTGAAGAGTTGAAAAGTTGGATCCAGTTTTTTGGCCGTGTAGAAAATTCAAGAACCACATGTTGTAGATTCAAAATCAGGGCACAATAGGAATCATGATGCCATCAGACTCTCCACACAATGTCATTTGAAACATAGTTTGTAATCACCCCTCACAAACCTGTGGCCTTTACCCACCAGTCTATCAGAGGAAACCTTCAGTGCTGTTTCTTTTCAAACTAGCTCCTCAATAATTTAATTAATACATGATTTCTGTTCACTGCCCATTCCAAGCTCTTTAAAAGTCGTTGTATGCCTGATGTGAACATTGAATTACAACAACTTGCATTTGAAATTAGTTTCTGAAATAATAAAAGTTTATGCGGGAAAATAAAGAGGGAATTTTTACAAATTTTAAATATTTGAAAAGATCTGAGACTGAAATGTATTAAGATATAGCCGCAATATTGTTGTTAAATTTAAGGTTTGTGCAAAATTTTGAGAAAGCCTTCAATTAATTTGTCATTTGAAAGCTGGATTCCAAATTAAAATTGAGGCCGCTGAAGTCTTGTGAGATATATGGGAGGCAGGAGAGAGGGAAAAGGTAAGAAAAGGTTATTCAGGCCATTAGTTCACTTTGACTGACTGAGATCCGTTTGCAGAAGCCACCAAACCCATTTATCTCCTTCCTGCCCGGACCTTCCTACTCCCTATTGTTTCAGGAATGTCGTTGTTTACATTTGAAATACTTAGAGCAGGTTTGCATTCTTCGCACTAGGTGATAGTCCACTCCTTCAATCAGTGAACTATTTTCTGGTCATCTGGGTATTTCTACGCATGTAGAAATCCAATAATAATATTCCTTGTCTTTGATATAGCACCTTATATATTACATTGTAATATATTGTGAGCGCATTGACTGTATTTTGTGGGCAAAACGCAGAGACCAATTTCACACAGCAGTGTCCCACAAACAGTCCTGGATTCCATTGTTTTGGGGAGCGATTATTACCCACGGAGAGTGATCCGCCAATTGACTAACTACCAGGTTGCTACTTACATCTAGATAAACACAGGCGTGTGGAGTAAGAAAACTTGCCTAAGGTTTCGCACCAGCCGGGAGTCATACTGGGGTCCTCTCGCTTGCGAGACGAGTGCTCTAACCACTATGTTACTGATATTTACTGTAAAGTGGAGTGACTGTATTTTGTGCACATAAGACTATCCAAACCAGACAGAGTTCCACATATGAATACCAGCTAAGCATAGACATTTACTGAGCAATGAGGAGCACCATATATCCCCATAGCTTTGTTTGTGCTGCCTTGAATATTTTCAGGAAGCTTTTCTATTGTTATTTACATTTCTCTCCGTACATGTCATATCATGTGTGGTGATGTTACAATAAATTCTGCCCAATAATTTTCCAGATTAATGGTCATTAATTTTACAGCTGTTTGTGGGATGTTGCTGGCAATTAAATAGTTGCTGTTTTTCTATACAAAACACTTCCCTACACTTGATTGCAATTATTTGTAAAACACTTTGAGACATTTGAAACACATGATAAGGTGTTAAAAAATGCACATTTATTTCAAATATGTATATTGTTATTCTTATACTCTTTACTGTGGAATACAGGAGAATCTGTTAAAATAGGGTAGTTGTGGAGTCCATAAAATCTCAACTAGCATTAAGACTGAGCACATTTGCCAATCAGCACTTTGACATTCACTGCACTCAGTGGCTTTTGCATGCTAAAAATTGGCGGATATCTGGGTTATCAAGGCACTGCCAATGTTGCTGCCACACAACGTGCAGGAAATTGTGTTAGCCTGCCACTAACCTTCTTTTAAAAAAAAGTTTTGCCTTTTTCAATGTGAATTCTAAATAGTATACAGGGAAACCCTGTTAATACAGTCATCCTCATTCTTTATCTCAGAAACCATAGTAGAACAAAGTAGAAAAAAATGCTGATTTCTGGGATGTCAGCATTACACTCTATTCCCTCATTATTTAAGCCAAATCATCAGCTCCCCAATGGTCTGTTTTTAAAGACATCCCATCACAGGTAGCAGCCTGGCTCATTTGTAGTGCTCTCATCTCAAAAGATTGGGATTCAAGCCCCTGTTCAGGACTTTAAACTTGTGTAGTTTATGCCTATACGGCAATGCAGTGCTGAATCTGCATTATTAGAGATGTCATCCTTCAAATGAGATGTAAAACCAATCCCGTTAGCCTGATCGGATGGACACCAAAGATCCCATGGCTTTAATCGAAAAGAGTGGGGAGTTTCTCCCAGTCCAACGGCCAACAGTATCCCAGATAAAATCAGTCATTCACTTCATGGCTCTTCGTGGGACATTGCTGTGTGCAAATTGGCTGCTGCGTTCGCCTACACTTTACAGTGATATCCTGTGAAGCACAACGTCTGTCTCCCCTCTTTCAAGGCCCATCTCAAAACAGGCCTCTTTGACTGCACTTTTGGTTGATGTCTCCCCCCCCCCCCCCCCCCCCCCCCCCCCCACCATCAGCTCCCACCCCGGCCATTCAGAGCATCCTCCCGATGTGAAAGGTACTATGTAAATTGTATTATACTAATAATAATCCTTGCATTTGATATAGCGCCTTGTTGCGACTTTCAAAGCGCTTCACAGAATATATTGTAAAGTGGATCGACCACATTTTGTGTATCAAATGCAAGGATTATAGGGAGTATTATTTATATTATCTCAAAACACACATTATACAGAGTCTTGTAGCTCAGTGCTAAAGCACTCGCCTCACAAGAGAGAAACCTAGGTTCGATTCCCGGCAGTGCAAAACATTGGGCAATTTTTGTTACTCCGCACACCTCTGTTTACTTAGCAGTAAGTAGGAACCCGGTTGTTACTCGATTGTCAGATCGCTTTTCCAGGGATAATAATTACTTCAAAAAAAATAAGAATAATTTGGTCACTCAAACCACAATTGCTTATGGGACACTGCTGTGCGCAATTGGCTGCCGCGTTTCGCCCATAAATATAGGCAGCCAATTGCGCACAGCAGTGTCCCATAAACAGTCGTGGATTGAGTGACCAAATTATTCTTATTTCTTTTGATAAGAATACAGTATACCGTCAATTCACTTTACAGTATATTCTGTGATGCGCTTTGAGACGTCTTGAAGACGTAATAAGGCGCTATATCAAATGCAAGGATTATTATTATTATACACCAACAGCAACTTGCATTTATATAGTGCCCTTCACCTGAGGCAGCATCCTGGAGCACTTTTGGTCGATGTTTCCCTTCCCCACCTTACTCCCACTCCTCCCACCAACATTATAATGAAGTGGAAATAAAGCCCGACTTCTGGGATGTCAGCAACACTTCTTCGTATGGTGCAAGACGTGGCAGCCGCGACTTGACAACCCAGCATTTGACCATTTGTAACACAGGGAGCTGACTGTTCAGCGCTTGAAGCCGGATATTCTACACTTGTGTGGATATAGGATTAGGACAGGATTGGGCTTGACAGTGATGCTTCCCCAGGCGGGATAGTGATACCCGCACATCTGCACCCAATAGAAGAAAAAGGAGTTAAATGATTTTGGAAGAATCCTGAAGCAAAAAATTGGCAAAGAAAAAAAATCTTCACAAATGCCCAGTGTGTCCGTGCATAATGTCTATGTTAATAATATCCACTCAATTGTAACACGCACCTGACTTTCAGAGCCTTTTTCTAATGTAAAATAGTATGTGCCATAAACGCCAATAACAAAAAAAACTGCCAGACGTCTGATTAAAGCCAACAATGTCTTTAAACAGCCATCCACTGAAAATTGCCTTTCTGGAGTGTTTGATTGCTGTTGTATGTCCCTCTTTCAGGTTTATGGAAGATCTTCAAACAGAGGTGCAGGAGATTGAATTCAAAGAGTTTTCCCGGGGCATGAAAACCATGAGAAGAGAAGAATTTGCTGCTTGGCTGCTTCACTTCACTGAAGAGGAAAACCATAAGACTTACTGGGAAAATGTCAGGTTGCGAATCCCTGCAGGAGAGGTCAGCATTTTGATTTTGTCAAAACAAGTTCAACTTAGGAGCAGGTTACCTGTTTATGTAATGTACGCTTATGAACTTTTACCTTCAGTTCAAACCAATATCTGTTCTGTTCATTCATTGGTACAGTAGAATGCTGTTTGGTCCACAGGATCATGATGGGGAAAAAAAACACCTAAATGGTCTTGTGTATTAAAAAAATGTATGATTTTGCCCAGTTAAAAGCAAAACAGATTTAATAGACCCCTTACATTTGACCCCTTACTTCAAGAATGCATCACTGTCACCAGTTTTCTTTTCATTAGAGCATTAAGCTGTTTCTTAAATTAAACCAGCATCCTGCCCTCTTACACTCTTACTGGCTGTTGAACCAGTGGATAGAGTTCAGGCTGAGAAAAGACCTGCCTTTTAAGTTAGGCAGAAAAAAGACCTGGCTAATTTTCTGCTCCCCAATTTGGGGGCACGTAGACCAATTTTAGCACCTCAACTGATGTCCAGCTATTAGCAAAATTACAACACTAGGATTCATACTTATAACCCCCCTGGTCTGTACATCTTACCACCCTGAACCTCTGTACCCCTAAGAACATAAGAATTTGCTAGATGAAAGAAGTCCAATGTCCATCCAGTTTGCCTTCCACCATCCTGGCAGTCGGTTGCATATGTCATGTCCCAAACTATATACTGTATCCCAAGATGTTATTTCCTAAAATAAATTTGCTAATTTGCTTTTGAAGGAATTGACACTTTCTGCTTCCATCATCCTCCCTAGGGAGCCTGTTCCATATATTTTCAACTCATTCATTGAAATAGTGTTTCCGCAGATTTGTTTTGAATTTACCTTCTGTTATTATGCCCCCATTTCCACCAACAACAGTGAATCCCAAGATTAGAATAAATATGTTAAGGTAATGATGCAGTTACCCACTACACCATTGGGTGGAACCATTTTGTGCCTAATATTTTAGAGATAGAGTTTAGAGAAACCCCACCATTTTTTTCTCTGCAAAGAGACAGTTGATGATGCAAACACATTTATGTTCACCATCCTCAGATAAATGGGGAGCAGTTATGGTAGAAGTATTTATGTTGGATTCTCCACACAACTGCCGTCAAGTAAATAGATGGATTTATTTAGATATAAAAAGCTGCTCCGCTGTGCTCCACGGGCTCATTGCCTCTGAACCTTGTTCCCCAAATTTTATTCCCCAAGGCTTCTTAAATGATATGGCTAGAAATAATGTGAATTTTTGATTTCCAGAGCATTTCCTTTGAAGAATTCAGGGCGTTTTGCCGTTTTATGAACCATCTTGAGGATTTTGCCTTCACAATGAACATGTTCACTAAAAGCAATCGTCCCGTTGGAATAGGTGTGTATTTTAAACAGTCAGTTTATTAAATGTACAACTGATAAGAAAATGGCCTGTTTGCAGCAGTAACAAAAAAAAACATCCTGCGTGATGATGATCGCAAGAGAGGTTTGGGTGAATAAGATTCTTCGCTTCATTTAATCTATTTTTTTCCCCCAGAATATCAAATCTGCGATCTTTCTTTTACAGCATCGAGCTGGTTCTTAAATGATTTCAACACTCTGTCCCTCAACCTTCTTAATGTATTACAGACATTTATCACCTTTAAATACTTCCTGGCACGTGTCCTAAAATTGCCCTTCACAACCCTGAACTCTTAACTCTTAACTTGACATATCTGAAAATATTTTTAGGAACAATAGGCTGTTTCTGCCTAACCCACCATTTTATTAGGTTGTGGCAGATCTTTCAATCCTGTTTCCTGCCTTTTCTCCACATCATTACTTCTAAAATATCTCTCTTCCTTTTAAGCATCCCAATTGATCCTAAGTTTACTATCTATGTTTCATTTAGTATCTTATAGTTGGCCAATCAACTGTGGAAACCAACGCAGCTAAGGCCTGATCCTGTCCACATCACATATACACACACTGTAACAACAGCAACAAATAACACTTGTATAGCACCCTTCACATTGGAAAGACATCCCAAGGTGCTGGATAGTCAGGGGTTTTTGGACCCGAGTTGGGGTCAGGTGGGGTGGAGGGCAGGGAAATAGGGGTGGGAGGGTGGCCAAAGGCACAGTTGAAGAGGAAGGTCTTTGGACGGGACTTGAAGGAGACAAGAGAGGTGGTGAGGCGGAAGGATTGGGGGATAGAGTTTCAGAGTGTGGGGACAAAGATGCTGAATGCCCGGCAGCCAATGGTGGGACGGGAAGTTCGGGGGACCCGAAGCAGGTCGGTGTCCGCAGAGGGAACGGACAGGCTGATATGGAGTTAGGAGGTCGGAGAGATAGGGGGCAGCAGGTCCTGGAGGGCTTTGAAGGAGAACAAGGATTTGTACTTGATTTTCTAAGGGATGGGGAGCCAGTGAAGCCAGGCAAGAACAGAGGTGATTGGTTTGCGGAGCCTGGTCCGGGAGAGGACACGAGCTACAGAGTTCTGAATAACCTCTATGACTACCTCTCCCCCCGGGGCTGCCAATTCGTGTCTGCATCACATCCAGATTCAAACACCCTGCTTCCCGGATTCCCTAGTTCCTCCCTGCACAACTGTGGTCCGTGTCCTCGCCCAAACCAGGCTCCGTGAGCTTAATACCCCTATCTTCACTCGGTTCCCCATCTCCTAGAGGATCAAATTCAAGATTTTGAATTTTGAAACTTTTGAGATGTCCTCTGACATGAACAGCACTATATAAATCTACATTGTTGTTGTGGAAATAGTGAACAGTTTTTGATGTTAATTAAGTGTATTTTCCAAATTGAATGTAGCGGACTTCAAGAGAGCTGTGAAGGTTGTAACAGGACAAGAACTCTCAGATAATGTCTTGGACACGGTCTTCAAAATCTTTGATTTGGATGGGGATGGATGTTTAAGCCATCAGGAGTTCCTTGGAGCGATCATGACCAGGCTCCATCGTGGCCTAAAGGTAATATCAGTTCTATACAATGATTGCTTTCCCAAACTAGTGTTAAAAATAAGCACACAATATTATCTGTGTTTTTAACCCCGGATCGCTTTTCTGGGGGTAATAATTCTTTAAAAAAAGTAAATAAAAATAATAATAATTTGCACACTCAATCCATGACTGTTTGTGGGACACTGCTGTGTACAATTGGCTGCCGCGTTTCGCCCACAAAATATACAATCAATTCACTTTACATTATATTCTGTGAAGCACTTTGAAACATCCCAATGACATGATAAGGCAGTATATCAAATGCAAATATTATTATTATTATCTAAGCGCTTCACATCTTGCACTATACCCTGTGAGTTACAGCATGATCCAAAACATTTCTGAGTAATACTTTATTAGGGGTTGCAAGAGTTGGATCTATTTTGGAGGGAAGGAGGGAGAGTTCACAGCCTTTTATTCAGGATTTTTTTGTTTTAAAAATCCAATTATAAAATACCTTTGAAATGTAAATCTTTTAGGCTTTACTCATACATTTGGTAGCAATGTCTCCTCAGATAAACGGTGCAAAATTTTGTGATAAAACATTCAATTTTACTGGGTAGGATCCATATGTGCAGAGTGGGATAATAATAAATAATAATAAATAAATATTATTATTTAATGTAGTACCTTTCACATCGGGCGAACACCTCAAAGCACTTGATAGGATAAATCTAAAGAACTCAAACAATACTGCATTTTAGCAGTTTTTGAGCAGTATACTGAAAGTTTGTTTAGATTTTAACCGAACCTTAGATCGATATATTTAACCAGCTGAAGTACAACTGACACAAGTTATCTGCATACAATAATTAAGACTCATTCCTTTGATTTCACCAGGCACCACCACAAATAGGTTTAAATGGCTATTTAAAATGTGTGAAGAACGAAACTATTGGCGGAGTCCACGAAGCCTGGAAGCAGACTGGAAGAAGCCCCTTTTAGTGCTTTTGCAACAAATACATTTTCTATTTAAATCGAGCCAATACTAGTGCTCAAAAGCTTGCTTGTGTGGGAATCTGTCGTCATGGGTTTTAAAAAGAGCTTGAGTAGAATTGGACAACTAATGTGCTACAAAAAGCTTCCAGATTTGACTCCATTAAAATGTCATGAATGTATTTCCTTTACTATATAATTGCATGTTGACAAAAAGAAACTAATTCACATAGCAAGGAATGAAGTAGCATTTAGGAATTTGTTGAAACATTTTTTCTGGCACATACGGAAATCCACGTGTGGAAATTAATTTACAACTCAACATAATTCAAATAATTCTTTTGAAAAGGTCAATGCAGAACTTGATTATACACCATAAGAGAGAGAATTTTCACAATGGATCATACATGATATAATATATGTTGTTAGTTCAATGCTTAGCAAAACGTTCATCAAATGAGACACGGGCTACGTGTAAAAAGCTGTACTATACGCACTATACAAACTCATATACCCCCATGGAAAGGAAAATTGGAAAACAATTAGGTCAAAAAATTTAAAAGAAAAGAAACATTAATAGCAATCTGTTTATTTGATAACAAACAATCTGGTTATCAATTTTATAACAATAAATAGAAAGTGATGTATGTGACAATGTATTAGCAAGAAAAGGTTCAATAACGAAGATTCAATCATTAAAAACTCACTTTACTGTAAACCATAGATTCTCTCATTGATAAAGAGGAATTCTACTCAGGTGCATTGCCAAAGAAAGGCATTGAAGAATTTTTCAATTGCGTTTATACACATATGCCTTAGTATAAAATGTAAAACCTAATCTCATTAGCTAAATGGGCTTCCCTAGGGTTCAAGGTAAGGAGACCCTGGTAAATTCTTCAATAAAGAAGCTCAGGGGCTGTTTCTTACCTGATTTGTTGACTCCAGCTTTCTGGTTCTGCTCAGTTCAATCTTGCTTTTTAAGAAGATTTATGTCTTTTTTGGTAATGGATCTCATACTGGTATTGGCAACATTATCAATTTTATACTCTCTGTTATGGTCAGCACTACGAAATCTCATTTGTGTTATTGGCTTTCCATTTGTAGTTCTTGCCTGTAAGGGCTCAACTTAAAACTGCTGGGAAATTGTTCAATAAAATGTTAGAAAACATTATTACAATATTATAAAACCTTTCTATTGGTATAAGAATTTTTTTAAAAATTGCTTTATAACATTCTATAAATCAGACAGTATATAACAGCATATAGGTGGTTTTATCTATTTATCTCTTGCAGTTTCTTCTAAGATTTTATGTTTTGGATGTTTAATAAAATATTCTTTGAATATTGTTTCTCATTTTTATATTCAATCTTCCAGCTACATTTATTGTACCAAGAGCTATATAGTAGCACAATGGGAATCTGCAGAATCCCACCATTAACCTCTTCAGTTTGATCTCTTTCAGTTACATCAACAACACTTGAGTTCAAAAGTGTTTTTAAAATTCTCTGCATCAGAGCATTATGTGCAATAAAAGCCTCTTTTTGAGGACACCACAATATTTAGCTCAGTGAATGGCACTTCTTGCTCTTAGGAAAAAGTCCAGATACATACTTGGAATTACAAGCATCTGGTACATGAGACATTTTACATAAACATGCATGGTTGGACAATTTCTCTGAATGCAGCTAAAGGTTAATTTATCTAAGGTACAAATCTCCATTTAATTTGAACCTGAGGTTAATGGTGGGATTCTGCAGATTCCCAAATGTATCTTTCCTCCAGTGTCAATAGTACATTTATCTATGTGACAGCACATGTTTCTGGTAAAGATAAAATACCTAAAGGAGAGAATGGTCATTCTGCACAGAATTTTACTACAGAATCGAAATGTATGTAAACACTCTGGAACACAGACCTGTAGAAGCAGTTTAAAGGACAGTTCACACAATCGCTGACAATTTTTCTTTCCGTTTTTTAAATCTCAATTTTGTGAATAATTACATTGTCATCACAGACAAAATGTGTCTTCTGGCTATTATCACTGTGGTTTCAGCTGCCTGAAGCTACTTTGGAGCCATCCCACGTGTTGGACCACCACTTTATAACACAGTGGTCTGGATCCAATATCTCAAACCAGAGCTGAACAAAGCGTGAAAAATCGCCCGGCTTCCAGGTTGTCTCAGTGTCACTTCCTGTACTGCAGTGGGGCTTCCTGAGCATAGTGTTGACTCAAGTCAGGGTGGTTCAACCTTTTGGCTGTCGTGGGCCAGATGTGGCCTGTGGGTCGCCAGTTGGACAACACTGACTGCAGTCATCACTGGGTTTGAAATTGTTGACTTGCAAGTATTTTAGACACTGAGATAATTAATCAAGCTCACAGAGACAGGATGTTTAATTTAAGAAACCTTTATAAAGCAATGTGCATGATACACCAAGCTACAGTTACCAATCCTGAGAACAGGTTTAGTAGCAGGAGCTTCTTCTTTATCTTTGTTCTTCTTCATCTTCTTTCCCAGATCTGTTCTGACTTCAGGCTAGTCTGTGCCCAATATTTCTACCCATTAATAAACAAGTTTTCACAATCTTTCCTTACTCTGGTCATCACCACAAAGCCATCCATGCATTGTTCTGACCATGACCGTAAGTCCATCTGGTTATCACGCATACCATTTTCTTATCTTACTTCTACATACAAACACCTTCTGTTTACACGTCCTATATTCACACAGATCACGTCACACATCCTCCTTTCACACAATTACAATACGTGGTCAAATAATGTTAAAGTAGTTTACAAGACACTCATTAAAAATGCTGACATGTTTCACAACAGTAAAGGTTATTCAGAGGTACAAGTGTTCACAATTTTCCATTGTACTGCTTAGCAAAAGCACATTCCCATGATTCATTATTCTTATGTCAATAACAACTCACCCATCATGCTTCCCCAGGAAATTATGTCCTGGAAGGCAGTCAGTCTTTAGCAAGGGAAGCCAGCGAGCCAAAGTGAGAAAGCAGGTGTACCACACTTCCGGTACAGCAATGGCTCACAGCCTTATATTAATTATAAGTGAACCCAAGCCTTACATTAGCTTTTAATTTTATCTTACACTAGTTGAATATATTGAGTTGTAACTATCTCAGATTTGAAATATTGCATCCTATATATTGAGAATCGAGGTCACTTATGTATTCTAGAAACTAGGAGTCATATAGCTCAGAACCCAAAGTAACCCTACTCACCCTCCCCCATTTCAATCCAGCTTTCGTTGTAGCTTAATTCCTTTCCTTCAGCTAGTTACTAATCCATAGCCAAATGTTATTTGTAAAATTATTGATTTGGATAATCATTCAACACATTTACAGAAACAAATACAGTATGTTGATGGTCACATCAGTTTATGACATTTACAGAATAAAGTGTGACTTTTACATAAATCTTTTATATTCCCCACGTTGGGATTTGGAACTCATATAGTCTAAGATGACACTCCAAAGCAGTGCTGGGGATTAAATCACTACTTCGCAACCCTCCCAGAAATTGTACTTCCCGGGTATGTGGTCAAAAAATCTCTAATTATTACAAACTCAATATTTTACAAAATTAATATTTTTGCATTAACTCTCTAAAGCCCATCAAATAAAAAAATCTAGACTAGTGATGGCCAACCAATGGCCCAAGGGCCAGAAGTAGCCCATGGGGCCATCAAGAAGTGGCCCGCCAAACAGTCGCACTAATCTAAGGTGAGTCTGTTTTAAATCAATATTTTGTTTCCAGTAGCAACTGAGTGGCAATGCTTATGGTCCGGCCACAAATTAAGAAATATTCAATCAAGAAAATTTATTTGGTTGGCTGACGAAAAAGATTGGTCACCACTGCTCTAGACTATTTATTCTCCACGCCCACACCTCAACAATAAGAAAAACAAGCTTGCATTCCTCCCTCCTGTTGGGATCTCAATTCCCAGTGTTCAAGTCAAAAGACCAGACAATAAAGTATTGTGGCTAACTCAGTTTATTCAAATATAAGCACAGCAAGAACACATAAAACATATACTACCCGGTTCTGGAGCAGTCAGCGTGCTTTGGCTCTTTGCCTTTGAGTGCCTAATTCCCTGCCAAATCCACTGCTTTATGTCAACAACTTTTGAGTACAAAATGGAGTTATCCACCATTTTGATTCATATAAACAAGATTAACAACATAATGTTTACAATTTTATGTGGTCCTGCCTGAAAGCGTTTCATTAAATATATCATATTCTAACACTCCCCAGCTACCAGCAAATAAATCATTACTCTAATCTTAGTCTAGTCCTCTATGCCCAAACACTTTCAAATTGTTCTCAGATATATTTTTAGTTCTTTGGCGGCATTAACTTCACATCGGTTAAACTATCGAAGCTAGATAAGTACATGAGGGAGGAAGGAATAGAAGGTCCGGCGTGGAGGGCAATATGTAAATCCAAGTTGTTGTTGTTGGTTAGGTTGATAAGCTTAGTTGAGGAAGGGCCGGAGGAAGCTCATGTGGAGCATAAACGCTGGCATAACCAGTTGGGCCGAATGGCCTGTTTCTGTGCTGTACATTCTATGTAATTCTAGGTAATCAACTTTTGTTGGGAATCTGTTCCACATGCACACTTCAGTGTGGGGAAACTAATTTCCTCTGATCTCAACTCCATCTTGAGGTGTTTCAATTTTAAATGTATTCACCTCTAGTTCTGCTCTCACGGTTTGACTAAAACACCCTGCTACAGAATCTATGCCTTCCATCAAATGCCTTGATAATGTTATCTCAATCTTTTTTCAAATACTAAGCCTCTTTTCATAACTCAGAGCTGAGACACATTTTTAAACAATGTGAATAGAGTTCTGGAATAAACCTTTGTAAAATTCCACTGGTTATATTGCTCTCAGGTGCAGCTTTTTCAGCTCAGCGTCAAACTAAACCACTATTAAGCACTCCGAGACATTACCAGCATGAAAGGCGTTATATAAATGCAAGTTATTGTTGTTTTCACTTTCTGCTTGTTAACGCTAAATAAATCTTCAATCCAATTTCCTAATTTGGAGTTAATTGAGGATCTTTCTCTTTATTTCAAAATCATACATGTCTTCTAAAATACTAAATAAATTATATGCGTTGGTTGAGGCCTCATTTAGTAATTATTATTTAATAAAATATTTTTTGCGTAGAGCCTATAATGTTTCAAAGTACTTCACACTTTCTGTAAAAAGTGATTGTATTTCCAGACAAATGGGATAGCCAATTTATGCCCAGCAAACAGTCATGAAGTGAATAACCAGCTTATCTGGTTGAACCAGTTTATCTGAAGAAATGTTAGTTCAGGCAGTCAGAATGAATTCCCTTCTCTTTTCATACAGTGTCATGGGATCTTTAATGTTCACCTGAATGAGGAAATGGTATCTCATTTCTTTACACAAATGATGGCACCTCCAACAATGCAGTGATCCCCCGGCATTATACTGGATTGTGACCTTGATAACCTTCTGACCCAGAGGCAAAAGTGATACAAACTGAGAATCTTCAACCCAATTTACCCCAACACAAACCACCTGATTTGCAAAATATGATGTCCCTTCTAATGTGATGTACTCTGGGAACAGCATAGGGAGAGGCAAAACAACTTGTATTCACTTTTGCCCTTCATGTACCATAGTATCTTGAAGTATTTTACAGGGTCGGATACCAAGCTCGTCCCTCGCACCCTCCGCCTCACCATCGGAGGTTGTGCTTTCAGCCACTACATTCCAAAACTCTGGAACACTCTCGCTCAATCCCTCCGCCTTGCCCCCCTCTCTCCCCTCTTTTAAGTCCCGCCTGAAAACTTTCCTGTTCGACTGTGCTTACGGCCACCTCCCCCCGGCTTGGAGTCAGGCTCTGTCACTGTTAAGCACTCTGAGATGCTACCCTGTGTGGAGAATGCTATATAAGCAACAGTACCAGTTGCCTTTGTTCCTCCGGGTCTGGCCTCCTTCTCGTCCCCCGAGTCCTCCGCTCCACCCTCGGCGGCCGTGCCTTCAGCCACTATGCCCCAAGGCTCTGGAACTGCCTTCCTCACTCCCTTCCCATTTTCAGGTCTCTGCTGAAGACCTTTCTTTACAACCTCGCCTTTGGTCACCTTCCTCCCCCTCCCCCTGGCTCAGTCCCGGGATCCGTTACTGTAAAGCGCTCTGAGACACCGTCCGGCGTGGAGGGCGCTATATAAATCCAAGTTGTTGTTGTCGTAGACCTGAAATCAAGGGAAAAGTGGATTTGTATTTAATCTGTATACATGTGGATGCCTATGGATGCCATTGCCAAGAAAGAGCTAAATTAGGAAGAGGGAGAGGACACAAGGTTAGAGCCCTGAAGTACTGCACAAGTCACTGTATTGAGGACTAACCAAAAGAGGAAGCAGAGTGGAGGTATTTGGCCACGTAAGATTGGAATCAGGAGAGTGCGGTTCCATGGAGTTGGAAGAGGGGAGAGAGACAGTCGAGGAGGATGGAGTCGCAACGGAGAGGTGAAGGAGGCGGAGGTTGGGGACTTGGACTGGAGCCGTCTCAGTGTTGTGGGGAGGGCAGAGGGGGTGGGGAGGGCAGAGGGGGTGGGGAGGGCAGAGGGGGTGGGGAGGGCAGAGGGGGTGGGGGGTGACGTTCTGTGACCAAACACAGCAACATTCAGGTTCAATGCCTCAAACTCTCCTCCTCCCCCCCACCCCATGTTGTCAGTGAGTATTGGGCATCACGTGGTATTCCACACCAGCCCCTCCCCCACCTTCTGCCTCCCTGGCGTGCTGCTGTGCGTGCTGACGTCAGGGGCGGCGGGTTGAGGTCAGACGCCGGTGGGCGGGGCGCTGGAGAAAGATGGCGCCGTCTCACGCCCTGAGGTGTTGTCAACGGCTCCTCGCCTGGATCCCCGTCGTTTTCATCGCGCTGGTCATCTGCTGGTCCTACTACGCCTACGTGGTGGAGCTGTGCGTCTGTGAGTACAACCAGAGCGGCTTCTCTCGGCCTGGCTCGGCTCCCTCAGCCTCCCTGGCCCCTCGCCCCCTGCCAGGCGGCGGCACCGGCACCGAGCGTCGCGAGGCGTCTAACAGGCGCCAACCGTCGGGAGGTTTTTTTTAAAAGAAAAAATAAGGGAAGTCTTGGGAGCGAATGAGAGAACCAGTCGACGGCGGTGGGGGCAGTGTGTGGAGGAGCCTGAGCCGAGCAGCCCCCCTCCCCGCCGCTCTCCTTCACCAGAGATGTCCCTCATAAAAAAGCGAGAAGAGGGGTTATCCTGCAGTGCAAAAGGGATTGTTAATCCGACAGAGCAGCCGGACAGGGGGAGGGAGGGAGGGAGGGAGTGAGGGAGAGTGAGGGAGGGAGGGAGAGTGAGGGAGTGAGGGAGGGAAGGCTCGGTGCCAGTTGCTGCTCCGTTCACCTCAACCTGTGGGAGTGTCGTGTCCGGCCCCGGGATGGCCCTGGTGTACAGTCAGGGGACGCAGTGATTTACTGGTGAGCAATGCGATCAGAAACGATCCCTTTGCGGGGGGGGGTCGTTTATTATTATTTCACGTCGAACTCGCCACTTTTTTTTAAAAAAAAAGCAGCACAACTCGTGTAAAGATTTCGTTCTACCTTTTTTAAATAGCGGTTAAGTTAAGGATAAATACTGGTTGAGAAAACAACTCCGATTCACTTCACTTCAGTGCTTGATCGTGAAAGTGAATTATCTACTGCATGTCAAACATGTCTCTCAATTGATACACTACAATGCTGTCATGTATGGTGTCATGTAGCGAACATGTTTGTGTGTTGCAATCCCCGATCGATATGGAGAGCGGTCATTTTGTCTTAAACAACGTCTAAGATATTGGAGGTATGACTTAATATTATTGTAAAAATAATATGGTTGCATCGTCTCAGTTCATTGTACAATATTTGTACAAAACCTGCAATTATTTGGTAAGATTTAATGGGCTGAAAAACATGAAAATAGTCCCCATCCCTTAAAAACAAAACCAAGTCCCCAATCTTGAATCGCAGCAGTACCAATAAAACTGCCTTTCAGAATTACACAATTAAAGATTTGAGTTGGTGATTGACTGAGATAGGACTTACTAACCTTATAAGTTATTGTACACCATTATTTTAAACAGATCATGAAATGGTTCTATGTAGCTTTTTAGAAGAAATTTTTTTGAAACTTCGGTTTTTATATTTTTTGTCACTCAATTTTCCATCTATTATTTTTCACCTGATATTTTAAATCAAAGGAAAATATTGTTTTTCAAAATATGAAAAATGCTATTTTCAACTCAACAACTTTAATTTATTTTGTGCCTTTCACATAGGATAATTTCTCTGCACTTTACGCAGACCAGGTTGGACGCAATATAGGTTATTAAAAAAATCCTGATCTTATGCCTCTCAGAGATGAGTGTAGGTATATGCTTGTTAGACCCACTTTATACACACTTTTAAGGGATTCAGTCAATTTAAACCAATATTTTCAGAACTAAAATTATTTACAACACTAAAACCAAATAAAATTGTTTTCCCGACATTGCAGCCTGAGTTTATTTTATGTCCATTTCTCAGATAAGCCTGCAAATCCAAGGTGCCATTGAATTAAGCTGCACATTCAATATGAAGGTAATTTGTTACTGATTTAAAAAACCGTGTCCTGTAATTGAGTAAATATATCATCTTTATTCATTTATTTATCTAATTATAAATGCTGATGTGGACTTTGCTTAAACAATCATTTTTCGTATAGTATTCCCTATTCTAACATTCCCTATTCCCCTGTATTTCCAAAATATATAACATTTTGATTTGGGGGGTGTGGGTGGCCATTCGTATTTAGTTTTTTTCAGTCTGCTTTTTCTCTCCAAAGAAACAAATTTATTATCCACAACAAGAAGTATCTAATGCTCATGTGCTAGTTGCAATTTCAAAGACAGCAGGGCTTCAGAGATTTATCAGGGTTTCTGTCTTATCTCAATAGCCAGAGTTGTTTTGAGTAGGTTTGCATCAATAGTCTTTTCCCTTACATGTGAGTAATTGTATGTTGAAACAAATCTATTGAATTTATTGATATTCAAGATGGCATCTTTCACAATTTGGATATTTACTGTCTCCTTTCCTCTCCCCAAAAACTATTTATTGAATTTGTGTCAAATTCAAAATACAGACTATTGTGTGGATATTTTAATGCCTCACAATAAAATTCAAGCTGATTCTGAGTAAAAAAAATTTTACATTTTCTACCAACAATTTTGCAAATTTGTTGAGTCTTACCAGACTTTTTCTTGACTTCCACAATTACCTGCCTCGCCGAACACAAACAGGAAAGTCTGATGATGGGAATGCACTATGATTGTGAAGTCCTGTAGAGTATTGGTTAGAGCACTCGCTTCACGAGCAAAAGGACCTTACTCACAATTTCAGCAGGGAACAGTTGGGAAGGCCGACAAGCAGGACATTGGCATAGTCGAGTTTGGTTGAAATGAAGGCATGTATGAGAGTTTAGGCGGCCTGAGGGATGTGGCAGTGGTGGAGTCGGGCAATGTTGCAGAGGTAGGGGAAGGTAGAGCAGGTCATGGCACGGATATGGGGGAGGCAGGACAGTTAAGGGTCGAACAAGACGGTCTTGCCCCACCCTACCTCTGTGACATCCTCAAACCCTACCAACTTGGCTGCACCCTCCACTCAGCAGGCACAAGCGTGCCATATGTGTCATGGACCTATGGCCTCTTGTGAGGCATTAAAATATCCACACACTAGTCTGTATTTTGAATTTGACAATAATGCTGTGATTTTCATTATTAGAAAAACTGGATGAGCATTAATAGGACCATAAGTCTTATCAATGTGTGAAGTTTCTGAGGATCAATTTTAAATTAAAAGATTACCCATTCTGTATTACATTTGCTCTAAACATGGCATTTTCTTGTGTTAAGACTATTGGCTCTGTAGTTGTATAATAATAATATAATCCTTGCGTTTGATGTAGCGCCTTATTACTTCAATGAGACGTCTCAAAGCGCTTCACAGAATTAATCAAGTGGATTAACTGAATATTTTAAGACTGATGAGCAATTAATCTGTTGAATTTGTCACCAGAAGCATTGAATAAATGTTTCCCTGATTTAACCTAGAGTAAACATATATACATGGGGGGAGAAAGTGAAGAGAGGGAGCGTTCCCAACACTACCGAGATGGAGAACACAGCTTTGGTGCTGGCCTTTACCTCTGCTCAGCAAACTGGGCCTGCTTCTTGTCCTCCATCCAATTTGCACACTTTTTATCTTTTTTTACGTTTGGAGTTAAATTGGCTACAGTGGTAGTAACTAAGTTTCATGTATGTTCCTGGATGTTAGGCCTTCAGTATAACAATGTGTTAGCAACAAAATATTAGGCTTGAAAACAAAAACAGAAGTCGCTGGGAACATTCAGCTGGTCAGGCAGCATCTATGGAGAAAGGAAAGTGAGTCAACGTTTCGGGTCCGTTCTGATGAAGGGTCATGGACCCGAAACTTTGACTCACTTTCCTTTCTCCATTGATGCTACCTAACCTGCTGAGTGTTCCCAGCGACTTCTGTTTTTGTTTTCAGATTTCTAGCATCTGCAGTATTTTGCGTTTTGAAAATATTAGGCTTACTGAGTTACACATCCACTTCCTGGTTGGCTGATTCTTATTGCGTATTTGTAATGCTGTTAAGTGTTTGTATTACTGTAGTGGTTGTTATGTGAACCTGTGCTCGTAATCTGATATTCATATTTTACAAGTACATTTTACAATGTTCAATCATAGACTTATTATTTATTTTACTAATAAAGTGGACCATCCCAGAATGGACAGTAGGAGAAGGCTTATCTGGTAATGTAGGAGGAAGCCATTTTGTTGCACTGTCAAAGAGTTTTTCTGTTTATTTCCTTGTGTGTCTCTGTCCCCCTTCCTGTCCTTATTCTCTCTTCCTATGGGTTTTTAATGATATATTATAATCTTGCATTTGTTATTGCGCCTTATCATGTCTTCGAGACATCTCAAAGCGTTTCACAAAATATATTGAAAAGTTAATTGACTGTATATTTTGTGGGTGAAACGTTGCAATTGCAATTACAAAAGCCAATTGCACACAGCAGCGTTCAACAAACTTGTTTGTTTGTTTTGGAGGGATTATTAACCCCGAAAAAGTGGTCCAGCAATCGATTAACAACTGGGTTACTACTTGCAGCAAGGTAAAGAGAGGTGTGTGGCGTAAGGAAACTTGCCCAATACTTCGCTCTGACCAGGAATCGAACCCAAGTCCTCTTGCTTGCAAGGCGAGTGCTTAACCATTAAGCTACAGCATTTCATGATTTCACATGTGTAAATGTGCTGTGTACATCACCTTTTCTAATCAGTTTTTCTCTGTGTGTTGCATATGGACCCCCATACACACTCACTCTTTACTATCTTTTTTTCACTTTGACACTGTTGAGCACACCTTATCTCTGTATCTTGCTTGTATTTTCCTTGGGTGTGTCTTTTACCTTTCTATTGCTCCCCACTGTCACACTCACTCATTTGCTTCCCCTGCTTTTTCTTCATTCCCATTCACTTACACACTTGTTCTGTCCCCGTGCTATTTGATGATAGTTCATTAAGGCACATCAGCTGTTGTCTCATTTTTGTTTTTAAAGCATTATTTTGATATTTCCTTTGTGTTGGAGCACTTCTGCAGGGCATGTTTTTTTTAATAAAAGTAATCCTTTTTTGAGTAATTGTTCTTTGGCTGCTTATTGAGGTCACTTCGTTCCTGTGTACAGTAAGTGGTAAGTGCGCTGTGGTTTGTCACAGAGCCAGTATTTTACACCCAATCCGCCAGTGACTAGAGTCAGGAGAACAAAACTTGTATCCAGTTTATATTAACGAATTAAAATACTTACTACTCGAAATGATTCAAAATATTTATTGGCAACAAGCATATATAATTTGATGATACCCCAAAATTAAGTCAGAGGCATAATACATAATGGCACTTACAGTTTGGGCTGGATGGGTAAGCTGACCAACTTCTTGTTAGAAGTCCCTCTAAGATACAACCTTTAACATGTCTGGCTCAAACACCAAATGTTATAGTTTTCTTCACGTACTCTCATACTCACACAAAGCCACGTTCTTACAGACATTCAGTCTCTACGCAAATTAGGTCCCATTCCAACAAATCAACAACATCCTTTAACTGAGACTGTGCAAACAAGTTAACAACATTCCCATCAATTGAATAACTGAGGCAGTTCGTACCATCTGCGGGGTGGAAGTAGCTGAAACAATGAGGCAAACAGGGAAGGAACATTCTCACAGATGGTGAATCTCTGTTCAAAGTTGATTACATCATTCTTACTGCCTGCGAGGAAGGAACCGTGTGGAAACAACAGACCATTCAGACGGGTTTGCAAACCCCTTGGCCATGACGTCACCACCATCACAGGTTGCCAGGACATGCAAGCTGAGTTAGAATTATGGACCAAGTTGTAAAAAAGGAGTGCTTAATGAAGATGACTATCCTTGACATGACTTGTTGGACATATTACCCATATTGTGACAAAGACTAGCCTTTTTATACAGGCCCCTTTTAAAGAGATTTTGAACTTTTAAACAACTGGGAACGGCAGCTCAAGTCATACACAGTAGCCTACCACTTTTTGAATAAAGTTCATATAGTGTGGATCATTTTTGGCTGAGCAAAACATGTCAGTTTATGAATATTTATTTTTCATGTGTTTAAGTTGAAACTTGTATTTTCGGCATCCTTCAAGGCCCATCTCAAGACCTCCTTCTTTGAATGTGCCTTTGGTCATCCTCCCACCTATATCCCCCTTGCCCTTCACTTCTCTTGACTCCCAACCCCAATTCAGGTGTAACCCTTCACTGTCAAGTACCATGGGCCATCCTCCCAACGTGAAAGGCGCTATATAAATGCAATTTGGTGGTGTTGTTATGTTTAAGTTTAATGTTCAGTCTTAGGATTGGAAATGTAAAAAAAAAAGTAGAAACTTAAGAGGAGAAATCCGCAGAGGATTTTTGGATTAATTGAGACATTTAATTGTGGTTCTTTAAGCATTAGAATGATTAAAAGTTATGCGATGGGCACTGTAAAATTAAAATTTTGTCCAGCGCCTTGGGACATCCTCCCAACGTGAAAGGCGCTATGCAAATGTAATCTTGTTGTTGACTGTTTCTGTGAGTTTGGCTACTTTCAAAGTTTTCAACGTGGAGATCTGCGATGGTTGTCTTTTGAGACTGATGTCGAGCAACAAATTGGCCAAGAGGCTTTTTGATTGGTCCGTTTTTCATGTGTTTTCTCAATTTTTGGAATAGAATTTTTTCCAATGAGACCATATCCTTACAAATAGTCTATGGTTATGTAATTTATAACCATCATTACAATTATAGCAATCACACCATTCCTTGCCAGGCTTCACTGTCTCCCAATCACTGAAACGATCGATTTCAAGATCCTCTAACTCGCTTTTAAATCACTTCATTCTCTCACTCCTCCGTACTTATCCGACCTGCTTACTCCCCAATCCACTAGCTCAGCTGGCTTCGGACTCCTGTTTGTCCCTTGTCCCCTTCCCTCCACAATCGGTGCCATCATGAACCGAAACCCTGGAATTCTCTTCCTCAATTCCTCCGCCTTGACCCCTCCTTCCCCACCTTCAAATCCCACCTAAAGACCTTACTTTTTGATCATGCTTATGGTCACCTTCCTCTCCCCCTGGCTCGTTGTCAGACTCCAATGTGACACAATCTGGGACGCTACCCATATGAAGGGTGCTATGTAATGCAAGTTGTTGTTGTCATACGTTTGACCCTACTTTTATCTACGAAAAAGGGTCTCCACCAAAATTGTATGCAGAGATTGATCTACCCCAGTTAACCTTTTAAAAACTTTTCAATATTGTTAAATGCATTTGCTAAACTCAGGATTTTGCCAGTATTTTGAAGGCTCACAAGACTTTTGAACATGTTAATTTCTCTGTGCAAATAGCAGCCCACAGGGCATATGGAGTCTGCAAGTTCAAATAAGTTTAGCTACTGATTGATGTGGTCACCTAGGATATAGGATTTAGTCACTCGGTACCTTATCCAAATAAGAACATAGAATACCTTTTAAAATATATGTTTTAATTGTTTCTTTTTCTCTTGCAGTTACTATCCAGAGTATTGGAGAGAAAGGTAAGAATTGTATTTCAGTACCTCAGAAAATGTACCCAATGTAAATGCTTTGTATCTGCATATAGATAGTTGTTCCCCTTCTCTATTCAACCAAATGCCATTTAACTGTGATGACGTAATGGAAATATTGTTATCAAGGTGAGGGATATTGGCATGGAGGATTGAAAATTTAGGACTAGGTTCAATGTCAGGTAGCCCCAGTTTAGGTTTAACATGAAGTGAGTGAGTAGGCTGAGTATGAGTTAAAATTTAAGCTCCACAGAGCATTTCTCCTGCACTAAAGTGAATTTAAATATTCCCATGTAAGCCATCCTGTGGTCTCTGTGTGAGATTGCATCCTCAGTGATAGTTTGCTACATTATTATTATTATTTTAGGAATTCATTAAGCAAACCCATTGCTCAGAATTGATTCAAGCCCAAGTCTAAAGAGTGAAAGAACATTGTCTTTAACCTACTGAGTCATTGTTTTTTTTACAATATGTGGCTTTTGATCTTCATCTTTAATGCGTTATATCAGAAAATTCTCTAGTAAACACAATTTAGATCATTTTATAATAATAATAGTCCTTAATCTTGCATTTGATTTAGTACACATCACATCGTTGAGATGTCTCAAAGCGCTTCACAGAATATATCATAAAGTGGATTGACTTTGTATTTTGCTCCTCTGAGACTCAGAATAGACTAGGGATCGAGGCTAGGAGCTTCACTATCTGTGACTTAGTTACATACTAGAAATTGTACTTTAATCAACTTTGTTTTTTTTACTGTGTATTAATGCTATTGGGATTATTATTGTTGAGGTGAAATCTACACTGATCAAATTATCTTCACAATGGCTACAAGTAGAATTAAATTGTTTTGGTATTATGAGACTTTGGGACTCCAATATTGTTATACATCACCTTTCATTCTTTTGTCTGCTATGATTTTGAATAGCATGGACAGTGATGAATTATAATGATCACTTTACCGTGTGATCAATATTTTATAGGGAGTACAATTTCCAAGTTTGCAGATGATACTAAGCTAGGAAAAGTATAAAACAGTGAGGAAGATAGTAGCAGACTGCAAGGGGGCATAGACAGACTGGTAACATGGGCAGACACGTGGCAGATGAAGTTTCATGTGGAGAAATATGAAGTGATGCATTTTGGGAGGAAGAATGAGGAGAGACAATATAAGCTGATGGTACAATCTTAAAGGTAATGAGAGAACAGAGACACCTGGAGGTTCATATAAGTAAATCTTTAAAGGTGGTAGGACAGGTAGATAAAGCTGTTAAAAAAGCATACGGGGTACTAGGCTTTACAAATAGGGGCATAGAATACAAAAGTCAGGAAGTTATGATGAACCTTTATAAAACACTGGTTAGGCCTCAGCTGGAGTACTGTGTTCAGTTCTGGGCACCACACTTTAGGAAGGATGTCAAGGCATTGGAGAGAGTGCAAAGGAGATTTACCAGAATAGTACCAGGAATGAGAGACTTCTGTTATGAGGAGAGGCTACAGAAGCTAGGAAACAGTCAGCACAGACACAATGGGCCAAATTGCCTCATTCTATGCTGTATAATTCTATGATTTATCCAGGGGCATTATAATCTGGCCCACTGTGTTGAAAATAAACAAATTTGTAAATCAAGAGTTTAAAAGCTAGAATTTGTATGGACTTTTCTTTACCTTTTTTTACGGGAATTCAAATAATTTTGTCTGTTCCTATTAAATATTAAGGTGAGTGCTTTTGTTTTCCAAATGTCTATTTGTATAGTATTGACAGAAGTCCAATTTGTATTCTGGAGCACAGTATCTTGAAGTGCGTATTTGCCCATTCTGCTACCATCTCAATGAAAATGTACTGCACTGACATAAATTCAAGCAGTGAAGATTACTAACCAGGCCAGAGTGTCAGTTTGTGAGGCACACGCTAATCTTAGTATTTTTAAAAAAAAACTTAAGAAAGAATTTTACTTTGTTGGTCTGGCCTGATTGACTGATCGCTTTCCAGGAGTAACAATCAAAGAATAAAAAATTGGTCGCTCCATCCGCGAATGTTTGTGGGACATTTGGCTGCTGCATCTAGCCCACAAAACACACAGTTAATCCTTTTTACAATATATTCTGTGAAGTGTTTGTTGAGACGTCTCAAAGACATGATGAAGTGCTATATCAAATGCAAGGATTATTGTTATTATTTTTGATGGGACTTTTGCGGAGGTAATGTGTATTCCTGCAATGGAACATTTTGTCTTCAACTTAAAATATTTCTGTTTCTATTGTTTCAGTTGTCTACCTTGTGATATTCCATCTGTCTTTTGTCATGTTTGTCTGGGCCTATTGGAAGACTATTTTTACACCCCCAGCCAACCCATCAAAAGAGGTAAGTTCTCCTTTCAATGCCTGAGAAAACCTGACTGTTTTATAAATGCTTTGCATCATAGGGTTGGTCCTTCTCCAAATGCAAGCTCTTTTGAACTTTAATTTGTGTCAACTGCAACAGATTAGCTCAGATATTGCAATGTTAATACAAACTGGAAAGGTTTTTTGCCTAAAAATGACTTGTATTTATTTAGTGCTTTCATGCAGGATAGCAGCTCTGAGCACTGTAAGTCTTTAAAAGCACGTATAATGAATGGGTCCAACATAAAATACTTTTTTCACTACACTTGAGTTTCTCAATGCAGTCTATAAATGGTTCTTGAACCTCTTTTATTTTATTTTGCTCTGTGAAGGGAGAACTCAGCTGCCATCAGCAGCAAGTGGCTTTGCAGGGCTTAATGTAGATCAACATCCCTTCAAGTGCTGGTCAGGAGGCATTTTAAAGAAGGAAGATTGAAGTACTGGCTGGGCATGTCCTTGTGTGAGCTTAGCTCTGTCTGAAATTTGCCAGCTTGCAGACGTGCCATTGGTATTAAGGACTTAAAAGATGTTGATTTGCCAAGTGTAATCCTTTGAAAGCTGGTTACTCCCAGATCCTTTGGCTGACATCAGCAAACTTTCTGCCTACGAAAAAAGCATATAGCAAGAGTCACAACCTTCCAAAAAAATGATTGGGTAGAAGTTTTATAACTTTTTTTATGGGAAATGTGACTGTAACTTGATGGACGCATTTACCTTCTCCTATAAGAAGTATGAACTGAAGAGGCAGCTAAGAGTATAGCAGGAGATTGGAAAGCCAGCAACAGGAAGAAGTAATGAGATTTAGGGGAAATATTACCATACCCTAAAAATATTGTATATTGTGTTCAGGCATAACATTTTTTTTAAAAATTATCTAAAACATTGCATAAGTTTCTCTTTAGTCTGCAATGTTTTAAACTGTATCTCTTCAGTATTAAAAATTTCAGCAAGCAAACGACTTAAATACATTTAAGGATCTTAATAGAATCTAACCTTCATCTGGTTTGGTTTTCTGTAGCCCAGTTTCCTGCATACTTAGTGCTAAATTACTAGGGTAGTGAAAATTCCAGTGGGTCATGCTGCAAGCTTCTAGTTCATTGAGATTCTATCTGTTGTCTGAATCTCTTGATCATACCAGCATGTCAATTTCTGCATCTGCTGAATGCCAGCCTGCTTTTACCTCACAACCACAAAAATAGCAAGAACCCAACAGATCATGATTGTAGTTTCACATTTATCAATTGATATATTCTTAAACTTTTTTTGAGACTTTTGTCACTTAAGGTATATTTCCATTTTGTATTATCTCAAGGTACTACTTCACATGTATTAAATTGTATTTTTCTCAAATCTGCCCACTCCATAAAAATCCATAATCTGTCTAGCCTCCAGCACCAAGTTTAACAAAAGCATTGTTGAAGGTACATGTAATACAGGAAGACTTAGAGAAAATGTTCTATGTAAAAGCAGCTTCATGTAATGAAGATATGGTACTGCCACCTTTAATGACCTGTTTATGAGCCATGAGCTTGCTGTGGCTGCACCCTGAAGCAGATTTGTTTCAGCTCAGGTGAATTCTTGGAACTTTGTTTGTAGGATGTAATGTTCTTTATTGTTCGGAACAATATTTTCCATATGCTATTGTTCCAAAGAAAGCTTTCTGGTTTGTGTAACAATATTTGTGATATAGAAACAAAGATTTATGAGATTATTGTTGATTCAGCTTCATGTTCAGATAAATTACATGATTTTCCTTTTAAATGTTTTATTCTGTGTTGCCCTGTCTTTCTTTACATTATGTTATTGCAAGTTGAAATGTTTTAATACTGCTGTCAAACTGGGAAGTTTTTCTTACCGTATTTTTAAAATTCATTTTCCTTTCCTCTGTCATTTTAATTTAGTGCCTTTACTTCAAAAATGTTCTCCTTTTTTGTTGGTTTTGCTCATTATTTTAGGACTAGACAGCAGTGTTGAAAACTGTACTTGCTATGATCACAAATCCAGCTTGCAGCCCCACCACTATCGTCGATCCTTTTCCAAATTAATAATAATAATCCTTGCATTTGATATAGCGCTTTTCACGTTTCTAGACGTCCCAAAGCGCTTCACAGAATATACTGTAAAGTGAATTGACTGTATATTTGTGGGCGAACCGGCAGCCAATTGCGCACAGCAATATCCCACAAACAGTCGTAGATTGAAAATGACCAATTTATTATTGTTTTTTTTTTGGAGGGATTATTATTAGGCTTTGTGTGGAGTAAGGAAACGTGCCCAAGGTTTCGCCCTCTGCCTGGAATTGAACCCAGGTCTCTCGCTTGCAAAGCGAGTGCTCTAACCACTGAGCTACAGGACTCCACATTAATTAATACACATATTGGGCTTTCTGCTCTATGTGCATATTTATCACCAGAGTGCATATTTATCACCAATAGTGATGGGGAACAACAACACTGGCAACTCTCAAGAATCAATTTTTAAGCCAATTTTAATGGCCCAGATTGGAATCATTTTGACTCGGGACAAACAAAAGCAATTGATTGACCCTAGAGCTTTGCGTTCCATATCATATCACATCATATTGCATGATGCTCCAATGGACACATCAGGGAGCCAAATATGTCCCAACTTTGAATATTATGCTCGTTATTATGTTTGTTAACAGGTTTGATGAATTAAAAATGCACCAATCTGTCCACATTACACAATTCAAAGAATGAAATTATTAGTAACAATAGTACAAATGAAGTTTGTGGTAAGACAGTTGGTGAAAGGTTGGGGATCAATAGATTCATTTGCAGAGCAAAGTAGTGTACCAAAATTACAGTTGCACTTTCATACAAAGGACAACATTCTGTACAATGTTTGTATTCTGGTTTGTAATGGGCAATGCAAAGGTTATTGACCCGATCTGTACTGAAAATCTAATGTATGTCACATAGGAAATTGCACATCTTAAAATTATATTACCTGATATTTTGATGATAAGGAGCATCTAATTTCCGTAGGACATTGCATAACATCTCAATTGTTTTACTTTAAATGATTCAGTAATAATGAACACTCCGACTGTTTTTGAACTCGGAATATAAGAAGAAAATATATTTAGTAAATATTATGCAATTACAATAGAACAATTAAAATTTTGCACTGATAAGTGAATGCCAAGCTAAGCCTAAATTAATGTAGACCTAGAAGAAGTGTGGGAAAGTACAAAAAATTTATATATTATATATATTGCAATCATGAATGAGCAGTAAAATCACAGATCAGTTGTTCCCATGATCCTGTAGCTCAGTGGTTAGAGCACTCGCTTTGCAAGTGAGAAACCTGAGTTCAATTCCAGGCAGGGCGAAACCTTGGGCAAGTTTCCTTAGTCCACACAGAGCCTAATAATAATCCCTCCAAAACCAAAAACAATAATAAATTGGTCATTTTTAATCTACGACTGTTTGTGGGACATTGTTGTGCGCAATTGGCTGCCGCGTTCGCCCACAAATATACAGTCAATTCACTTTGCAGTGTGTTCTGTGAAGCGCTTTGGGATGTCCTCCTGACATGAAAAGCGCTATATCAAATGCAAGGATTATTATTATTATTATTATTATGATCAAAGTACAACCCTAGCCAAATGAGATTGCATATGGCATACCTTGCTCTGTAGTCAAAAGCATTTTATGTTTGATGCAGAAGTACAGAAGGAAAACTGTAGTGACCCTTCTGAGCTTTTCGTATTTAAGGCTAGGATATTCTACCAGCAAATCTGTTCTATTTGGTATCTGCCATCTTGGTGCAATTGGTAGCACCCTCTCCTTTGGGTGAGAAAACTATAGACTCAAACTCCATGTCAGAGCTTAAAGTATAGGCTGGCACTGCAGATTAGTACTGGGGGTTCGCTGTATTGTTGGAGGTGTTGTCTTTCAGATGAGATATTAAACTGGCATTAAATTGCAATGACGTGAATTAAAAATACTGCCCCAAAAAATTACACTTGATTAATTACTGTAAAGCGCTTTGAAACATTTCAAAGTAATAACTTTTTTCTTCGGTCTACCTGAAAAATGGATTATTGTGTTCATTACTAAATAATTCAATGACATTTACAATGAATATTCAAAAATCAATGAAGCTTTACTGAAGAAAATGAGTAGAAGAAACTTTACACAACTCGTATAATAGTTCATTGTTCTGGATGTTAGGCTAATGAAACCAGCAAATAATTGGATTACATCAAAGAGCAAATATCCTTTCTAAATAATGGGGTGAGATGTTTTTCTCTTTTTTTTTAAATTCTGTGCTCGCATCTGAAGTGAAGTTGGCTTGAAAATGTTACTAAGCCCGATTAACAACATGACAAACAAGCTAATATGAAGCTTCCTCGATGATTGCAAAAATGTAGATTCTGCTCCTATTAAGTAATTCGACTGTCATAAACATCCACTGCTTGAGCAAAATTGTTCCATCTCCATTGGTGCAAAAAAAATTGATCGAAGTAAATTGTTTTATTTTTAAAATAGGTGCTAATGGTACTTTTTTAAAAATTGCCTCAATTCCTCATTTCTGTTTACATTTTAGTCTCAATCGTTACACCACATCCAGCTTAAGTAACAACAAAATTACATTTGTATAATGCCTTTCACATTGAGAGCATGTCCCGAGGCACTGGACAATCAGTAGTTTGGACCTGAATTGGGGATCGGAGAGAGTGGAAGGCAGGGGGGGAAATGAGGGTGATCGAAGGCACGGTCGAGAGTTGGATCTTGAGACGGGTCTTGAAGGAGACGAGAGGGGGCGAGGTGCAGGAACTATGGGATGGAGTTCCAGAGGGTGGGGCTGAAGGCCCACTGAAAGCATTCTATGTTTGATGTAGCAGAAATATGGGGCGGGTGAAACGTGGGACATGAAACAGGCTGGAGCCCGGAGGAGTAAGGGGATAGGCCGAGTGGGAACCAGGAGATGAGAGCCACACAGCCACCACAG